GACAGAGAGAGAGAGAGAGAGAGAGAGAGAGAGAGAGAGAGAGAGAGAGAGAGGAAGGAAGGAAGGAAGGAAGGAAGGAAGGAAGATAGAAAGAAAGATGTGTGGACCACAGGTCAGGCACCCAGAGGTGAGGGACTAGGGTGATGCCTTTCATCCTTGCCCTTCCCAGGTCTGATCCCATTCAAACTCCTGCTTCCCGCTCTGTCCCATCAAGGCCCCGGGGCAGGTCCCAGCCCCAGAGAGGAGGGGTTCTTTCCTACCTGTGTCATTTCTGAAGGAGACGCCTATGGTGAGGTTCCCTGGGGCATCTGGGAGAGAAAGACAGGGCCCCACTTCACATGGAAGTCACCCCAATCCCAAGGAGGGGTGGTGGGAAGCAGGAAGGAGGAGTTCTCTCTTTCTGGTCACTCCCCCCCTACACGTGGATCCATGCCTGGGTGTTCTCAGGTTAGCTCAGCCTCCTGCACACACACACACACACACACACACACACACGTCGCTCCCACTGTCCCTATGGACACAGCCATCCCTCCAATACTCACAGGAGACATTGAGCTGGATGGTTCTCTGTGTGGCCACCGAAGATCCTTCCCGTTTCACCTGCCAGGTGAGGTTGGTGCCATGGTCCCGGGGCCTCGGGGTGAAGGTGAGCACTGAGGAGCGGAGGGTCTGGAGGTTCAGTGAGTCCACAGCGGCTCCCTCCCAGGAGAAGGTGAGAGGTCGTCCCCCTTCGCAGGCCCCTGGCAGGCTGCAGGCCAGCTGTGAGAGGCGGCTGGACTCCAACGGCTCCCTCATCCGGATGTGGGGTTTCTCTATCAGGGCTGCAGGGGAGAAAGGCAGGTGCCTGGGCTCCAGGGGTTGAGGACCCAAAGTGTGATCCTGAGTGGGACTCGTGCTTCAGGGCCCCTGAGCTCCCCAGGCCCTGTGATCTTCCCACCACCCAGGGCCCAAGGCCTGGACAGGGAGTGTCCAGCGTCCTGTTCCTGCTCTAACATGGGGTACCATGTCCCGGGTCCTCTCCGGGGCCCCTGCTGTACCTGTCACCTGAAAATCCATCATCTTATCTTGGTAACTATATCCTTGGAAGTAATATACTCCGTAATTATATCCAGGATTTCTTATCTCCACTTGGAAGAAGTAGCGTCCTGCGTCACTCCTCCTGGCATCTCTGATTTGCAGGGAACAGTCATTTTTCCAGGATCTTGTCAGATGAAATCGGCCGAGGGTCTCACTCTTTTTTCCTTTATTTGGGTTGTTTGAGGTCACAGCAGCATCATAGTCTGTGTTGTCCCCGTCCCGGTACAAGTAGAGGAAGACCACACTAGAGGAAGTCCATAAAGATGAGGGGTAGGAGAAGGAGCAGGGCACGTGGAAGCACAGACCCTCCTGCATGGTCACCGATTCCTGCACTTGGAGCTCATAGCCAGGCTGCTGCTGCAGGGACCCTGGGATGGGGACAGAGGTTCAGTGGCAGCCCCTGCTGATCCCCCACCTGCCCAGCCCTCCTCCCTCAGCCACTCATCCCCCCACAGCAGGGGCAGCAGCAGCAGGGATACCATGTCTGCCTCTGGCAGGGCAGAGCGGGTCCCGGTCCCTGTGTCCGGGAGGAAAGTGCCCAGCTCTGGGGTGGGGCCGAGGACACCCCAACAGGAAGCTCTGGGAGAGAGACTGTGGCGAGGCTGGAAGGGGAACTCTGCCTCCACAGGACGTGGGGGTGGCGGTGTTGTCAGAAATCATCCTGTCTCCCTCCCTCCTTCCACCCAACCCTGCCGGTGGATATGCTGAGGCCCCCAGAGGTTGAGAGGCGTGTCCAGATGTGAATCTGAAAGTTATCACCTTGCAGATGATGTGTAAGTGGGGGGGGGGGAAGGTCACCCAGGGGGCCACTGGGGTCAGAGCTGGACTCTGGGGAGACCTACCTATAAGCTGAAACCACTGATGGGTCTGGAAAAGGATAACTTTACATTTTCTTTAGACAACTCAAGTGCTGGCAAGAGAAAAAGCAATTCAGAATCAACTCCAGTTGTGGGGTGGATCCCCTGCATAAACGAGCATTCAAGCCCTTCGCTCTGAGAGCTTTGTGGGGACATGGGAGGCACACACGTGGGTCTTCCAGGGCCTGAGGGACCTGGGACAGTGACAGCACACAGGCCCCATCAGAGGGGGTGTGTAAAGGGAGATCTTGCCCCATTTGGAGGGAACGAGAGGCGGAGCCTCAGCAGAGCAGCAAATTCACCACCTACAGCTCAGGAAGATCTATCTTCAGGCCCCTCACATGCTCCGTCTCTTTTTGAAGCCCAGCAGGGGCTCGAGTGATGTGTGGACATAACCTGCAATTCTACTGCTCTTTTATGAAAGAAACTTGATGAATGTTTTCCCAAATATGGCAGTGATGTGAAACTTCAGACATTCCCAGTAACAAATTGTGTGATTGAAAGAAACGTTTCTTTAATTGTACAGGAGAAAAAGAAATGTCTATCATCCATGCTAAAGGGAACACTGAGTTCTCTCTCTATTCTCTATATTATCTATATATATAAAAGGCTAATATGCAAAGTGTCCCCTCGGGAGTTTGATGGGGAAACTGGGAGTTTGATTGCTCCAAATGACTTATGCTGACCTCCAGGGGCGACATGAAACGCAGGAAGGCCCTGGCCAGCAGCCGGAAGGCCCCATCAGCCCTGACCACTGCCAGGCCTAGGGACCCTACACATGCACGAATTTCATGCACTGGACCTCTGGTATAAATATAATATTCTAGTAATTAATACTTAATATGATATTAACATTTATTACTATGTGACAGAATTAATCTCCTATAAAGAGCCAATCAAAAAGTATCAGTTAAAAACTGTGGTTCAGGATGGAGCATCATCCTTTACATCAGAAAGTTGTGGATTCAATTCCCAGTCACAGCACATAGCTAAGTTGTGGGTCCCATCCCCTGAGTGGGCATGTAGGAGGCAACTGATTGATGTTTCTCTCTCGCATATTGCGCGCTCTCTCTCTCTCTCTCTCTCTCTCTCTCTTTCTCTCTCTCTCTCTCTCCTCCCTTCCTTACTCATTTGTCTTAATAAACATGTCCTCAACTGAGGATTTAAAAAATTGTAGAGAACACGCCTTATGCCAGTGTGCCGGACAAGTATGTTGCACGGCTAAGAAAAATAGTCTGTACTTTTTTTTCATTTGTCTTATATTTTGGGCTTAAACATTTTTGCCTTTGTGACTTGATGTAATATGTTTTCTCGTGTTAGAAAAATCCATGTGTAGCAGATTTTGTATTTTTTTGAAGCAATAATCTTGACATCTATGTCAATATCAGGCTCCACAAACCTGAGTTTGCCCCTGCCTTGGGTGCAGGTGAAAAGGAAGGAACCAGCTCCCCCCACCACCTATCTGGACTCCTCGCATATTACAATGAAGATTGTCTAGCTCAGTGGTCGGCAAACTCATTAGTCAACAGAGCCAAATATCAAAAGTACAACGATTGAAATTTCTTTTGAGAGCCAAATTTTTTAAACTTAAACTATATAGATAGGTACATTGTTATTAACTTAATTAGGGTCCCCTAAGCTGGCCTTTGCTAAAAACGTCCTCAATCTGATTGAGGTAAGTTCGCTGAGGTCACCCCTTCCAACTCTCCCATCCTCAACTCGTGCTTGGATCATACGCACCTCCCCCAGGGCGCTGGGTTTCCCCAGATGCTGCGTCTCCCATTGCTCGACCGACACCCCCCACTTCTTCTAATGCCACTTCTTCAAAATAGACTCGCCCAGGCCGAAAGCTGACTTCTGTGCAGGGACCACAAAGTTTCAATCGCACTGTACGTGTGCGCCCGCACGTGGTATTTTGTGGAAGAGCCACACTCAAGGGGCCAAAGAGCCGCATGTGGCTCGTGAGCCGCGGTTTGCCAACCACTAGTCTAATGCAAGCATAGACCTAAAGAAAAGCACGATTTCCATGGTTGTACCCCCACAATTCCTATCACTGAGAGATCTAGCAAATCTCAAGCTTGGAAATAAAACATACAAGAAATAATAGCCCCAACCATTTGGGCTCTGTGGATAGAGCGTCAGCCTGAGGACTGAAGGGTCCTAGGTTCGATTCCGCTCAAGGGCATGTACCTTGGTTGCAAGCACATACCCAGTAGGGGGTGTGCAAGAGGCAGCTGGTTGATGTTTCTCTCTCATCGATGTTTCTAACTCCCTATCCTTCTCCCTTCCTCTCTGTAAAAAAATCAATAAAATATATATATTTAAATAAATAAGTTTCTGCTCCTTTCATTCCTTCAACTAACTTCCTTCTCAAGATGGAAGGATGATTGATACTTTGTCTTTTCCAAGACTCTCCAGGGCTGGAGAGTGCATTTCTCCTACGCCCTCACCCTCTGCTTTGATTCTTTCTCCAAACATTGAAAAAATCAAACTCCGAGATACAGTGAACTGATTGATCGTTACTGGAGGCAGAGCCTGTGGGTTGGGCAAAATGAATGAGTGTGGTCAATGGTACAAACTTCCAGTCATAAAATGATTAAATCATAAGTATGTGATGTATAGCATGGTGACTGTAGTTAATAATAGTGGGTACTGCCCCGCTGGTGTTGCTCATTGGTTAAGCATCAACCTATGAACTAGGAGGTCATAGTTCGATTCCCGGTCAGGACACATGCCAGGTTGTGGGCTCGATCCCCAGTAGGGGGATTACAGGAGGCAGCCGATCAATGATTCTCATCACTGATGTTTCTATCTCTCCCTCTCACTTCCTCTTTGAAATAAATAAACATATTTTTATAATAATAGTGGGTATTAATACTATTAGGTATAATAATGCAGTTAATAGTACTGTGTTGTATGTTTGAAAATTGCTAAGAGAGTATATTGCTAAGAGATTTACATAAAAATATAATATGTCCTTTCTCAATGAAGGAAATTATAACTCTGTTTAGGAGGACATTAAAGATGCAAATAAATAGACAATATGCATGTTAATGGGTATGACAACAATCTATATATATAAAAGCCAAGTGACCAGAACAGTAGAATGACCAGAACAATTGGAACAATTGGTCGCTACAAGGCTCACTAAAGGGGCCAACCGGCCCGATGAGGCCCCCAATTGGCCCCCCAAACCTCCCATAGCCCCTCCCCCTGGCCAGCCCTGTCCCCAATTGTCCCCCCACCCTGATTGGGGATGGGGCTGGCAGCCAACCTCCCACATCCCCTCCTCCACACCAGCCCGGCCCTGATTGGCCCCCATCGGGGCGGGCAGGTGGACCCCACCATGCACAAATTTGTGCACCGGGCCTCTAGTATTGTATAAAAGTCTAGCCTACCCAAATTAACTTCTGAGTTAAAGCGACATGTCACCAATCTCCAAGTGACTTTTGTGGAACTTGGTATTGCTATTGTAAATTTATATTGAAATAAATTTTTCCAAGTTCAGCCAAGGCAATCATGAAGAACAATGTATGAGGACTGGCTCCATAAGACGTCAAGACATTAAAATGTTATAGAAAACAAGACGGTGCTGTGCTAACACAGGGTTAGACCACTAGACCACGGGAACAGAACAGAGCACCTAGCAATACCATAGACCTAACCCACAGGAAACGTCATGCATGATAGAGGGGCTGATGCACAGAAGTCACGAGAAGATAAACTTCAATAGTGTGTGTGGGCAGCGAGGGATCTGAATGCAGTGGGATGAGATTGCACCCCTGGCTCCTACAAGGCACTGAAACCCAGGGCAGATGGAGAAGAACTACTGTTTTACCAAAGACAAGGCATTAGAGTTCCTAGAAGGTAACATCACAGAATATCTCCAAGAACTAAACGTAGGAAGGGATTCCTGAACAAGACATAAATAGCACTATTTATAAAGAGAAGCACGGACAATCTGGACTATGTTACAATTCAGGACTCTTCATAAAAGACGCCATAGGTAGTGCTAAATCATCAGCCATCAGGTGAGAGAAGAATTTTACAACACGTGCAAGCATCAAAGTGTCGGTCTCCAGAATTCCAAGAAGAATTTCTACAAATACATGAGAAAACAAAATACAGAAAAATGGGCTCACTTGAGCTGCACCTCATAAAAGAGAAAACAACCAGCTGGTAAACAAATGAAAAGCAGCTCCAGCTCATTAGCAACAGGAAAGCGCTCGTTAAAACCACAATAAGATAGTATTACACTGGCTCCAAGTGGACAAACACCCAGTGCCACTGACAGTGTGGGCCAACGGTTGTTGAAATGTAAGTTGGTACCAGTGCTTCAGAGAAAACTAGCACTTTTATAAAATATATTTTAAAAAATAATAAAAAGAAAAGAAAGTGAATGTAAAATATCTATTTTGGTATTCTGAGACCAATTCCATTGTGGGTGGCATGAGGAATTTCTCCCACACCATCAAGCAATTCAACTACTCAATTTTGACACTACCTACCCGAATGTAGCATCAGATGCCACATGTTTAAGGCTAAATTCTTAACCTGCCCTCCTCCTTAATCCCATGTCAGGTGCTAATCTCAAGTCCAGGTTATCCACCTGTGCTTCTGACCAACAGGTTATAAGTCAGAGTTTTCCAAGATCT